AGCTAATTTTTCAACGTTAGTTTATAAGGAGAAAGTTGCTTCAAAATTTCGATGATTGGAAATATACATTGGCTTCATTGAAAACGTTAACAGGATAATACTTTTAAGAATGGTGTCTAGTGCAAGGGCGGAGGGTGGAGGTATTGATGCCATGAATCGAAGGCAAGAGATTAAATAAACTCTCGAAACATCCAATCAACTGGCAATGGAGTTTTGCCAGTGTTGCGAGTCTGATCGATTATTTTCTATCAGCGAAATCGTTCAAATTCAAGAATCGTAAAGACAGTCGCAGGTATCATTTATATCGTGATCGACCAACCGGTCCCTTGATTAACGAGCACCAATTTAATGGGAGACTCTGTCTCATGAAATGCGCCTTCATTATAGTTTGGCTGGACAATTAGCGATTGTGATTGCAAGCTTCATTTTGTCAGGGTACTATTTATTGACAAGTCAATCAGAGTCAATTGTTCATAAGAAACTGTGTTGAGGCTCGTTTTGTTACCGAACAGTCACTAGATTTGCACCAAATGGGTCTATTATTTCCATTAGTGTTTCTGGATTTCAATCGAGTTAGATTAACGACAGGTAGAGGGTAAAGGTATAAGCCCTTCCTTGTTAAACGAAGTATGTCTGAAAAATAGGCCAGAAACATTATCCAAATCCAATATCTATATTTTTAGGTGGTTCGGAAAATAATGACCAAGTTTAGAATAAACTTTTATTCCTAAAGTAAAAGCTGAGTTAAAAAAAAAAAGCTGATAATAAAATGGTATATTTGAACATTTAACAGTTTAAAGTTAAAATAAAAGATGGAGTTGTTATATTAGCATAATTAACATTTGGGATTTGTAGATAAAGTATTGTCAGCCAATATTATGTTATTCAAAAATAATGTCTGATTTTAGAATCAACTTTTATTCCTTAATTAATGTGTATGTGTTAGTCAGTCAAAATAAAAACCATAAACATCTATACATTTCTGTATCAAGTTACAAGGTTATTTATACCTTTACAAGAAAACCCAAATTCTCGATGCCAAAAAATCTTTGAATGCAGTTTCTGCATCTTTGCAATGGAATGCCTTTTGGTTTAAAAAAATTATCAATATGCTTGAAAAAGTGGCAGTCAAATGTTGAAAGATCAGAGGAATATGGTAGATATCACAAAGTCTTATATCCCAAGTCAGTGAACCTCTGCTGTGTCATCCTGACTGGTACCATGTGCCCAAGTATTGTTATGAAGCAGAATTGACTTCATCTATTAATCAGTCCCAGTTGTACTTTGCTCAAGTGAAAGTGCTTTTCATTCAGTTGCTGGTAGTAAAATTCAGCAGTGATTCTCTGGTTAATTCCAGAAAGTTCTAATGCTAATGGTGGATCACCAGAAAGTCACCATAATGCATAATTTTTGCAATTTCAATTTTGGGTCTTTCCTCATAATTATGTCGCTGAGCTGATGATTTACAATTGTCATAAAGAATCCATTTCTCATCATAAGCCACTATTCAATCAAGAAATAGATCATTTGAATTTCACAGATGCAACATCAAACTGTGACTTTCAATGAGTTCATGTGGAAACCATTTATCGAGTTTCACCTTGCCAATTTTCTTGAGATGGTCTGATAGTAGTGAAATGCTGATATCCATTATCTGAGACATTTATCTGACACTTAGACATGGGTTTTGTTCAACAAGTTTTTTCAGATGTTGATTATCAGTTTCAGATGAACCCTAACCCTCTACCCCCTTGTTTTTTCAAGACTGGTATCCTCGTAGAACTTGAGAAACCAGCATCATACTGAGTGATCACAAGTTGATCCTTCACCCCATATTCAGTTAATGTTGGCAGCAGTTTGGGAAGCAACTTGAAATCATGCAAAAGAAGTAAACACATCACTTCTTTTCTTTTTTTCATGTTCAAAATGAGGATTATATAATGTTTTAAGTTGAATTCTAAAAGAGATTGATATAAAATTAGCACTTTAACCTTAGAATGCTAACGATCAATTAAAGTTACACCACTAATAGCCATGGGTATAGCATACCACGATTTTAAAAATATCAAAAGAAATATTAAATATAAATCTTTATTTGAAATATTTTACATGCAGGCACTTCAAACTTTTACTTTTAGTTAACACTAGCAGCATGGCTCGGCGTTGCCCGTGCTTGATTAAAAAATCGTACGACTCATACAGCAGTCGCTATCACTTGACTTAATATATTTTTACCCTTCCTTGCCTTTAAAGGAGTGCTCTTTGTCGTGCTGATGTTGTTACATGCCTTACTTCTTGCCTATCTCACACTGCGAATTTTTTCTAAACTCTATACTAAACATTAAATCTGTTACGAAAAAAGAACTAAACAAAATGAACACAAAACGATCAGCTTTAAAAAGGACTCGTAACTGGAAAAACCAAATGAAAAAAGAATATTAACAACAAATACTTTTTCACACACCACCCAGTTTTGCGGAATCAGAATCAACGTTGAGTTTAAGCAAGCGAATGAGCCAATTGGCCATGCAGATTTAAATTTTTCCCACTTGTGACGAATGCAGCTATCGATTTTTTTTTTTAATGCTAGCATGCTCGTCAACATTCGTGTCAGTCAGCTGTTGGCTCTCACGCTGGCCAATAGAATCTTCCTGCCTATTCGTGGCAGCCAGCTATAGGTTCTCACTCTGGCCAGTAGAAAATGGCCGCAAACTACATGAAAACTGCCGTAGAAGCATGAAAATATCGATTATTTCCACTATCGATGGGAGTTGGGAAATGCAAAGTCGGTGTTGGCCTTTCCGCTAACTTGGAGCATGTGCATGTAAATTTTGGTGCAAATCCGTCGAAAATTGCGGCCGTGCATTCATTACACACACACACACACACACACACACACACACACACACACACACACACACACACACACACACACACACACACACATCATGCCTTTTATAGATAGAGGTTCATAGGAAATGAAAAACATTATTTAGGTAAGAAAATCGGGTACTGAAAATTGTAATTAAAAATAGGAAAAATTGCGCTGGTTACTATATAGCCATGGTTAGTGTTCTAGGGTGAATCATTAGGCATAAGTAATATATTTTGTGCAACTATTGTAATATTAGAACATAAAAGGTTTATTCTAAAATTAGATATTATTTTCCGAACAATCTAATATTAATTTTGACTAGTATTTAATTCCAGCTTAATTATTTATTACGTTTCTAAGTTCTAATGTTAATGGTGGATCGACAGAAAGTCACCATAAAGAATGATTTTTGCAATTTCAATTTTGGGTCCTTCCTCATGATTATGTCACTGAGCCGATGATTTACAAATTGTCATAAAAAATCCATTTCTTATCATAAGCCACTATTCAATCAAGAAATAGATCATTTGAATTTCACAGATGCAACATCAAACTGTGACTTTCAATGAGTTCATGTGGAAACCATTTATCAAGTTTCTTCCATTAGCCAATATTCCTTGTTAAACGAAATAGGTCTGAAAAATAGGCCCGAAACATTATCCTAATTCAATATTTATATTTCTTTTGGTTCGGAAAATGACGTCCGATTTTAGAATAAATTTTTATTCCTGAAGTAATGTCTTTGAACATTGTTTAAATCAGTCAAAACAGGGATATTTTCCGCCATTGATTTAAAAGTTTATTTACGCCTTTATGATAAAAGTTCAAATATTTGAACGCCAAGAAATCTTTAAATGCAGTTTCTGCATCTTCATTCCGATAGAGTGTCTTTTGGATTAAAAAATTACAAAATGGTAGATGTGGCAAAATCTCGTATTCCAAGTCAATGAGCTTCTACAGTATAATCCAGGCAAAATGTAGCCGAATATTGTCATGAAATATAATTGAACCTTATCGATTGACCAGAGCCAGTCGCATATTTCTTAACCGGATATATATTTCATCCAACTGCTGGCATTAAACATCGCTAGTGATACTCTGATTATATTCCAGAAAGTTGTAATAGATAAAGTCAATAGAGGACAACCAGACAGTCACCATAATCTTCTGTTGGTGCAATTTCACTTTTGGAGAGTTTTGGTGTCCTTCTTCATGATCAAGACATTGAATCGATCGTTTACGATTCTCATGAAGTAAGTACCTCACTTTTCGCCGCAAAAAGAGCATACTATGACAAAAAATGCCCTAAACTTCACGAAAACTATGTTTTAATGTCAAACCCTTTATATTATTATTGAGAGGAAAGACGAAAGAAATTTTTGAATGTTTAAAGGATTTCTTTTTTATTAATTTCAGGAACATTTGGGATTTTGTTTAAACATCTTGTATGAACTATAAATTAGCATAGAAAATTTAGCCTCTTTTTTGCAGCTGATTTGGAAATTCATGCAAAAATCAAATTATTGTCGGATTTTAATTAATCTTTCAGGACTTATTCAGAAATGAATTAAATTATTTTGGAAATATTTTTTTTTTAGAAAATCTTCGTAAAATCTTTTTACGTGTTTCAGTCTATTAAATTTTATTAAAACTTGAGCATTTTAACGAAATAATTTGTAGTGGCAATATTAGTTTAATTGTTGTGGTAAACCCTCCTACAGTAGAATGAACACAACCTCCTCTCCTCTCATAAATACAAACTGCGAGAGTCGGACGGAAGTGCAGAGTGTGGAGTAAAGTTTAGTAGTAGACGCAGTGCTAATCTACTTATTACTAACACTATTGTTTTGTATATATCTTCAATATACTTTTTGCAACCTAACTTCGTCTTCCGTATCTTTCTTTCTGGCCACAACATTAATGCAAAACATTATTTACATTATTCGGACTATTGTCCTCATTTTTGTTGCCATATTTATTACAACATTTCGGCCGTTGTACGCTCAGGCCTTCTTCAGGTGGTTGGAATGTCGAACTGAAACCTATATTTCGTTCACTGGGGTAGACAGTTCGAGTTCTACTTGCCATGTTTAATGGATGTCAGTTATCAGTTATCTCCTGTTAATTAATAGATAGATATGAACAAACTGAGATAGATAGATAGATAGATAGATAGATATGAACAGACTGAGATAGATAGATAGATAGATAGATATGAACAGACTGAGATATATACATACATACAATGAACAGACAGAGACAGATAGATAGATAGATATGAACAGACTGAGATATATGCATACATACAATGAACAGACAGATAGATAGATAGATAGATAGATAGATAGATGAGATGAACAGACTGAGATATATGCATACATACAATGAACAGACAGAGATAGATAGATAGATAGATAGATAGATAGATAGATAGATAGATAGATAGATAGATAGATATGAACAGACTGAGATATATGCATACATACAATGAACAGACATAGATAGATAGATAGATAGATAGATAGATAGATAGATAGATAGATCGTTCCACCAGTTCAGACCTTCAGAGCTAGGGTCCACTAAGCCGCATGCTCAGCGTCGACTCACCCACATTTCTTTCGTATTTCATTGACACGGAGAAAAGTTCTGCCCGGGCAGTTTCTTTTCTAGAAGTGTTCCTTTGTAGAACAGATTCCGATCATTAGCCTCTTAACGTTTTCAAGTCTACAGTTAATCCATATCTATCGTACATATCCTCAAAATAGGGACTTTTTACTTCTCCCTTTATACGATTACGACAACCTCATTTAGAAACACTTAACCTTGTGGATGGATAATAATCTTTAATAAACATGATTCAGTCCAGCACAACGTACAAGCGATAATACTCTACCTTGAGTTGTTCTTGGGTCTTGTATTGTGTGGACAACTGTACAAAAGAGATAACTAGTAATAATATAAGGACACAATTAAAATGTTTATTCTAAAATCCTGCATTATTTTCCGACCAACTTAATATTATATAAATAGAACATTGAGCATATGCTGCCGATATAATGTCTAAGTTAGGGTTAACGTGCATGTGATAAAACAAAGCTCTATCGCTTGCGATATTTTTGTCAGCTTGTTCGTGTGTGGGTTAGTGTTTTCGTGCAGCAGGATGTCCCACTTACACAAACATCTTATTTTTTTTTAAAAAAAAACAAAAAAAAACAAAGACAACAGCTTACCAATGTTTTGCAGTGGCTGATGGCGCGTTAAGTGTCTGACAATGAAATGGAAAGTCCGCAAACAGAACGCTTTTTGCATCCCAGGACACAGTGGCCATCAATTTCTTCGTTGACTGAAAAACTTTGAATTTTCATAGGATCGGTGGAGATGGATGTTTCTAAGTCACGGAAGCAACCTCGTCTACTTTAGATTATCGTCTGTTTGGGCGCCCCTCAAGCGACATTTTATCCGAGAAGAGGCTCCACATAAACAAACATAAAGTGGACTTTTGTAAATGGAGTCGCATTTAGCAAAATGTACAATGCATATTACAAGTTGAGAAAGAGAGAGATAATATATTGGGTTGGATAAAATGTTCGTGCAGTTATCAAGTATATAATTTACTTATTAAACTTAACGAAATTTTTAGGCCAACAGAATATAATAATAATTAGGAACATCACAACACACACACACACACACACACACACACACATACACACACACACGTGTGTGTGTGCGCAGATATATAGAAAAATAGGAAAGAAAACGTTAGCTAAATAATCCGAAGTTCTTTAGTATTTTTGTTTTTATTTTTTTAAAAAAAACATTCGCTTGAGGATGAATCAGAGATTGATACTTTATTTCAATTTAATTTTAATAACTATATTGAAATTTTTGGCTCCTGTCTCATGTTTTAAAACATGAGAACTCTTATGTAGCTAAGGAATCATATTTTTTAAAAAATTTTTAATATAATATATATATATATATATATATATATATATATATATATATATATATATACTTTATTCTAGGACATTACATCGAAAAGACAATTGCAGTCGTGTTTTGATGCGTATTAACGCATATCATCAGGCGATTGTAAATTACTGGCGTGTGAACGATTTATTTAGATTTAAATGCCAAATAACGCCTCTTATTTTCTTAAATTTTGTTTTCTAAGAGTAAGTATAGGTGCCGACACTGTTATGAACCAATTCCATTATTAAGCATATCATGTGATCATAAGTGAATAAATAAGAAGTAGTGTGATGACTATACAATCACTGTACACTTTTTTTTGTCTATCCACTATTGCTATACGTTCATTCTCTCTATTCTACTAACTATACGGATTACGATTCTCTTCTGTTCATTATACTATTTGGTAATTACTACTTGAACATGTATTACTAGTGCGGATATTATTGGAAGGTGTTACTACTAGTACCGCTGTCTACAAAGTCTCGAATATAACAAAGAGTTTTATAAGCGATAATGAGGTGAAGCAGTCCAACATCACAAAAAAGACGTGGAAATAATAAAATGTATTATTTATTACCTGGTCATCATATGGTATTGAGACATGTGTATTTACCGAGCATTTTTGAAACTGATTACGAACTTTTGCTTTATATTGCAAAAGTGACAAGCGAAACCGTCCAACATCATAAAAGATTTAAAAGCAAAATGCAGCCTCTTTTTTCATTTTTTTCTTCATTTTCTTAAAAAGTGGCTGTATTTTGCTTTTAAATGTAAACAAATCGTTTACTCGCCAGTAATTTACAATCGCGTGATAAGATGCATTGATATACATTGAAGCACGACTGCAATTGTGTAGCGATTTTGACATGTTTTTCGCTGAAATATCCTAAAATAATATATATATATATATGACGTTACACATTATGAAATTGACAATGTACGACAATTATACTTATAATTGTCGGACTTTGTCCATAATGTGTGACGCCATTTGTTTACATTTGGATACGCCATGTGCAGATATGAATGTACGTGAGAGATTCATGGAAGATTAAAGTTTAAAGACAGTAAAATAATCTTGCTAACCGAACGCTCCTCTGTGGCCGAAAAGGTTAAAGGCACGTCAGGTCATATGACGGTCCTGTATAAGATACAGGTTCGATTCCTGTCGGAGGACGAACATTTTCTATGAAAATTTCTCGGACATTCAGGCCAGTATATTTTGTTTAATACTGTTTATTATAAAACAGAGAATTTACTTAAATATTTGTATCTATAAAAAGAATGTATAAACATAAAAATGTCTCTCTCTCTCTCTCTCTCTATATATATATATATATATATATATATTGTGATGTTCCTAATTATTATTATATTCTGTTGGCCTAAAAATTTCGTTAAGTTTAATAAGTAAATTATATACTAGATAACTGCACGAACATTTTGTCCAGTCCAATATGTTATCTCTCTCTTTCTCGACTTGTGATACGCATTGTACATTGTGCTAAATGCGACTCCATTTATAAAAGTCCAATTTATGCTTGTTTATGTGGAGCCTCTTCTCGGATAATATCGTAAAATAAAGAATATTGTTCTATTTTGTATTGAGGTCTCTTTAAAATTAAATGTTACGAACGTTGGAATTGTACTCTATTCATTCTAATATTACCTGGATATATATATATATATATATATATATATATATATATATATATATATATATATATATGATAAAATATCGTTTTAAGATACATTTATGGGATAAAGTGCTCAATATCAGGGACCAAGGATGTGTAAATTTAAAAGTGGCCAGTGAAGTAAACTCCCAGACTGTTTCATATTTAAAAGCAATATATATAATATAGGATGTATAATGGTACCCGAAACAAAAGTTAAGACAATGGGACAAAAAGGAAAAATTTTTAACGACGCGTTTCACCTAGGGCGTCTGCTCGCGACGGTTACATATATATTTACCAAAATGACACAAAAATACCTTGAAATAATAAAGAGGAAATTTATTCAGTAAAATCGCCATTGGCTTCAACCAAGGCCTCCAGACGATTTCGGCAACTCCTGTAATCTACGTTGGTGAATGCTTCCATAATCCATGCCTTCAGTTCATCTTTGGTGTTACAAGGAGTTTTGTTGGTCCCTCACTAAACTGCTCCTCAGACATTAATAATTAAGCGGGTTGCAGTCTGTGGAGTTTACATCTGTTTATTTCTGTGACCACATCACCGCTTACATCTGTGGCCAGATGTAAGCGATGATGTGGTCGCATCTGGTCGGTGATGTGGTCGCAGAAATTCTCTGACAATCATGACTGTGGCGTGGGGCACAGTGCTATTGGAGGACAAAGAATCTTCCAGGTAACACCCTCTTTATCCAGTGCATCACTACCTCCTCAAGGCACTTGATGTATGCTTCCGTGTTGAGTTTGAGGTCCCGTGGAAATATGAATGCAGGCATAAAGTCGCCATCACTAGTAATCACTCCAAATACCATGTGGTTGACTGGATATATCATCCAGCTCTTTCCGAATCGTCTGCATTGGGCTCAGATTTACACACAAACACTCTGAAATGTTCGTATTGGAGCTTACGGCGCGAATGCCAAGCAGTACAGCATGCTGTTTCCAAATTTCTGTCGGAATGAATTGCGTTATTATGCTCTTTTTCTCGCAGACGATGCCCAACTGACTCTACTGTACTGCGAAGACAACAAAATCAAAAGCAAACGACGCGCATGCGCGAAAAAAAATATATATAGCGACAATTTACCCATCGCACTCTCTCTCTCTCTCTCTTTCACTCTCTCTCTTTATATATATATATATATATATATATATATATATATATATATATATATAAACTAATATCCTGCTATGCTTTTGCTTCGTGCATGGACCCAGATACATCTTTCACATTTCGGATGCATAATCCCGTAAATATGTCACATAAAATAACTCAATTTAAATGCTGGTCCTCTCAAAAAAAAAAAAAAATACAAAAAGTAGATCACAGTTAGTTTTTGTTTTTGTAAAGGGATCCACATTTTTCACAATGCATATTGCATGCCACAGATGGATAAAGAGAGCGAATTAATTTAATAACATCACAAAAACAAAGTTGACGCTGACATTGTACTGAGGCATCGTAATTTAAAAAGAATGAGTGGAATCTAAATTGATGTCTTTTATCATTTGATACAAAGTAAATAAAAAAAAAATCACGAATGTACACATTCAGTCATTTTTTTTTAAATATATTTTACGCTTATGGATGTAGTTTTCTTGATTTGTAAACTTAATTAAAATGGCTGAGATTTATGCTTTCAAATAAAAATAGAATAAACTGGAAATCTTACGTGAATATTAACCAAAATGGTAGAATATATTCTCAATATGATGAAATTCTAATTTATTCTATAATGAACAAAAACATCTAATTTGTTTGGCATAATTTTTCTTTCATTCTTTTCTTCTACGTACCGTGTCTATTCAGGGTGTGGGTGATCATAGCTCTCCACAATTTCCTATCCTTTATAGCTGATAGTAAAGTTCGTTTTCTCGTTGTCTCTG